TTGTAAGAGTGGACCACTGAGGGCTTTGCACTTTCAGCCCCGTCTCCTTTTCAGGCAGGCAGCAGATCTCAGAACGTATAGAGGTCAGTTTGCAGGGTCAGGTCTCCCCTTTCACTATGTAGGTCCTAGGTCGTAAAGGTTGGCAGCACTGAACCAACTCACCAACCTCAGATTGTGTTCTTGAGATCCAGCCACTTTATTGTACAAGGCTAGAGCTAATCAAAATTTTCTCTCTGTTACATATTAGCTTTGGTGCAAACATTCCAGATTCTCTATTCATACTGGTAATGGACATTTATGTCATTTCTAGCTTTTTTCTATAGAGATCTGGAGTGTTATTTGTGAATGACTTTATACATGTTTCCTTAGTACATTTTGAACTGTTCCTTAAAACTTTTTTTGCAGGGGTAGGGGGGTTGTGGGGGGGGAGAGTGAGTTTTGAGACAGGATTTCTCTGGGTAGCCCTGGCTGTCCTGAAATTCACTCTGTAGATCAGACTGGCCTCAAATTCATAGAGATCAGCCTGCCTCTGCCTCCTGAGTACTGGGAGATATGAGCCACCACACCTGGCCTGTTTTTATTTATGTATTTATTTATTTTTGGGCCTGTCCTGGATCTTGCGCTGTAGACCAGGCTGGCCTTGAGCTCACAGAGATCCACCTGGCTCTGCCTCCCTAGTGCTGGGATTAAGGTGTGCACCACACTCGGTCTGTTTTTACTCTTAATTATGTATGTCTATGTCTGGGTCTGTGAATGTACCCGCAGTGCCTGTGGAGGCCAAAAGAGGGCATTGGATCGCCTGGAACTAGAGTTCCAGAAGGTTGTGAGTGGCCATGTGGGTGCTAGGAACTGAACACAGGTCCTCTACGAGAGCAGCAAGGACTTGTAACTGCTCAGCCATCTCTTTAGTATCTCACTACGTCATCTTGGCTGGCCTGAAACTCTACACTAGGTTGGCCTCAAATTCTCAGAAATCTTCTGCCTCTGTCTCCCAAATGTTGGAGGGACGGCTCAGAAAGTGACAGCTAGCTATGCGAGCACAGGGACCTGAGTCTCATCCTTAGAGCCCAGTGACAAAGATGGGTGTGGTGGTCTATGCCAGTAGTCCCAGGGCTGAAGAGCAGAGACAGGAAGACCCCTAGGGCCTACTGGACAGCCAGCTTAGCCTAATTGGTGGGGAGCTCCAGGTCAGTGAGAGATCCTGTCTTCCAAGTACTGGAATACAAGCAGGCTGCTTTGCCCACCTGGGGTTTACGTGGATTTTGGGAGACCTAATCCTTCCACTTGAGTACCAAGAGCTTTGACTGTTGAACCATCTCCCTAGCCCTGGGTGCATTTCTGAATTGCAATGGATTTGTTGTTATGATGCTCAAGGTAGGTACTATTTTAACAGGAAGACAGGAAACAAATGGAGTGTACATCTGAAATTTTAGCATTTGGGAGGGTGAGGCAAGAGGATAGGAATTGGAGGCCAGCCTGAGCTACACAGCAAGACTGTCTAAAAAAATAAAGGGGAGAAGAACCAGGAAGGAAACAAGAATTATGAAAAGAAATGAAAGGTGTCATTTATTATTTTTTATTTTTTTATTTTTTTTTTTTTGGTTTTTCGAGACAGGGTTTCTCTGTGTAGCTTTGCGCCTTTCCTGGAACTCACTTGGTAGCCCAGGCTGGCCTCGAACTCACAGAGATCCGCCTGCCTCTGCCTCCCGAGTGCTGGGATTAAAGGCGTGCGCCACCACCACCCGGCGAAAGGTGTCATTTTAACAATAGTTTTAAGGCTTAATTGCTCCATTCCTTTCAGATAGATCACAGATACACAAAATTCAGGACCACATAAGTTCCTCTAGATGGACAATGCTCTCCTCCTCCTCTTCACATCCTGCTAGCCCACCTTTCCTTTTTACATGTCACAAACATGCCTACTGCTTCCAGGTCTTTATTGTGTCTTTAAATTTCAGTGTCTTCAATTCTCAACTTTATGAAAACTAGGAAATATCTGGAGTTTAAGGGCTGTCATCTTTATTTCTACTCTTTAGTATTCACTGACTCACTGTTTATGTGTAGCAGGAATGAGGAAACCCCCCTGGGGGAAGCCTCATGTCCATTTACTTCTCTGGCCAATGTGGAATGCTTGAAAGTGTCCACAGGCTTTTTCAAAGCTCCAACCTGAGGCTGGCAACCTTTTGGAAGGTTTCTTGGATTCATCAGGAGCCAATGTTGAATCACCAGAATTCACCAGGGTTGAGGGGATAACTGGTGCCATGCTATGTCTAAATCTACCTGGCTCTATTGATGTAACTAACTGTCTTATTAAATAAGAAACACAGAAACAATGTAAAGGAGAAAGCCGAGAGGTCAGAGCTCAGAGCTAAAATCTCACCCTTCCTCCTGCTGTCCCAGCTTTGCGAAAGAGGGCTACTTCCTGTCTGTACACCTTTTTTATAGTATTATTGTTCTGCCTTCTCATTGGTTGTAAACCCAAACATGTGACGGCCTCGTCACTGTCTGAATGTACAGCCCCCTAGGTCTTAAAGGCATATGTCTCCAATGCTGGCTATATCCCTGAACACACAGAGATCTATGGGATTAAAGGCGTGTGCCACCGCCGCCACATTCTTGCTATGGCTCTAATAGCTCTGACCCCTGGGCAACTTTATTTATTAACATACAATCAAAATCACATTTCAGTACAATTAGATTACCACCACATGGCTCTGTCCCTTTGGCTTGACTCCCCATTTCACATGATCTTGATGATGTTGACTTGAATCCACTCTGTTGTTTCTAGCCACATGCCTTTGTATAGCCATCAACCCATCTTCAGAGTAAGCACGCCCTCTGTAAGCATGCCCTGACCCAGGCCCCCATGTGGGGTTGGATGCCCACACTTGGTCTCCTATCTTAAGAGTAAGCACACCCTCTGTATGGTTCCCCTGACCTAGGCCCCCATGTGGGGTTGGATGCCCACATTTGGTCTCCTATCTTCAGAGTAAGCACACCCTCTGTACGGTTCCCCTGACCTAGGCCCCAACGTGGGGTTGGATGCCCACACTTGGTCTTCTAGCTCTTGAGCACACTCCCAGTTATCATAATCTACATTTCAGTTGAACTGTGTGGAGCAAAGACTTGATTCAGAGGAATTCCGCTGCAGATCTCTGCTTGACTACAAAAGGAGAACGAGAATAACCTTTTAAGTAGGGTCATCTGGTCCCCTTGAGCACACCCCAAAGAGGGTCATCTGGGGGTTCTGCATGTGTCTTAGCCCTGTGTTGTTTTGAATTGGGATCCCCTGGCTTCTCTGGAAGTGATGCTGGTGTTTAAAGATCTATGTTTCACAAAGCAGGAAATGTCCCAGATACAGCAAGACATTGGGGTGTTGGGGGACAAAAAACAAAATCAAATCAAGCAAGCAAACAAAACATAAGAAGGAAAAGAAAGCAAAGCTAAGTCACTCACAAATTTACCTGTTTCTAAAGCTGTAGGAACGGGGTTCAGATTCTTCTTCTATAACCAACACAGATGATTTGGTTAAGAAACTAACTTGTCCAGACTTCAGATCACATGTTGTGTCTGCCCATCTTTTATATGGGTACGTGAGGCTTAATGAATAACCAGTGCAAGGTCGACTATCAGTAGCGGTTTGCATTACCCCAACCCACACAGCCCTCCTTCCTGTACCAATGGATTCCATCCTCAGAAGACTGAGGTGACAGTTGAGAGCTTCTAGAAAAGGCCGCATATTCAGAGCTCCAGCTGCAGGTCACGCAGCCTGGCCCAAGCCTATAGGAATCTCAGTATTCAGGAGGCTGAAGCAAGACAGGGAAGTCGGACGGGAGTTTGAGGGAAGGGAAAGGAGGAAGTAGAAAGGGAGAGAGGGAGAGAGAAAGGGAGAGGTAGAGGGAGTGGGAGAGCGAAAGGGGGGGTGGGATGGGGAGGGAGAGACAGAGAAATATTGCTATAGAAGCCCCTACCGGCATTTAGGAATTGATCCCTGGGGGGCGGCGTCTACATGTTCTCATCGAACCCCTCTTCCCATCCCTTTCGGGCCACCTTTGCCACTGCACTCTTTCATCCGAATGGGTATTAGGTTGGGCTGGGTTCAATATCCAGTGGCCTCCTAGAGCCAGAGGCAAGAAAGTTCATTGACTGGATGCTCGGTGTCTCAGTGATGAAGCAGGAGCCTGGCTCTTGTCCTCTCCGCTAGACCTATAACTACTGATTCAGTAGCTCCATCCTTTGCTGCGTGGCCCGGGGAAAGCGAACTCAACTTTTGCCAACAGTAGGATCTCCATGTGTATGTAGGGTAACCCAGCCAGCTCGGATGTACTCTGTAAATGCCAGCCCACCAATCGGGCGCAGGACGCCCACTGGGGCGGTGGCCCTGGAAGGGTCAGGGATGCCCAGGCGCTCTGGACCATTGGAACTCCGCGAGCGCTGCAAGAGACCAAGCCAGTAAGTCCCCACGGCACCTCCCCCTGAGAACCAACAGGACGAGTCGCCCCTAGCAACAGCAGCCGGCCCTCGCTCCGACCGCGCTGATTGGCGGAACTCCAGGCGGCAGCGGCGTCACTTCCGGCAGCCGGAGGCAGCGGAGGAAGCCGAGGGGCGGCCATCTTGGGTCTGTGAGGCTCCCGAGGTGCCGGGGAGCGGCGGTGGCAGCCGGCAGGGCGAGGCCGGGCGGAAAGCGAGCGGGAGAAGGGAAAGCAGCAGGGCGTGGGCGCCTCCTCCGCGGCCCCCTCCATGGTTGGCGCCTGCAGGCCGCGGCGGCCTGTCTTGCTCTGCATCTCCGCTACATCCTCCTGCGCCGCCGCCGCTTCTGGGGCTGCCCGCCGCGCTGTGTGGAGCCCCCGGGACTGAGTTCCGCGGCGCTGCGGCTGCGGCGGCGGGCGGCGAG